GTTTACCAAAGGTACATATCGTAAATATTATAAATCAAGTTTGTGAATTAAATCAGATTTGTGACGATTATTGTTTCGCGGAAACCAGCAGACTATGAACTACGTTTGGGAACAAAAGTTACGTTAAGCTTTATAACCACAGTGACATTTTAACATCAATGTGCGTTTATCAGAATGGCATCTAAAAGGTTGGTAAAAAGTAAGAACACTTTGTCGCAAGTATCTGCAGCGACAACAATGAAAGATACATCGATAAGTAACCAGAAGATCAAGATGTGCATTTTTTGCAAGTACCAGCACAGTTCTTCAACAATCTGCGACAGAGATCCTAAATATTCAAGTTATATTGAAGACTTGGTCAATAAAAAGTGGCAAAATAAACAAAAGAATAACCTTAAAAAGTGCCACTTCTGTAAAGCATTCGGACATATTGTAAAACACTGTGTTGGGAAACAGATGTTAAAAGACAAGAAAAGATCCTTGTTTGCAAAAACTAATTCAGTTACAATGGATTCAGAAGGTATTCCTACTCTAGATTGTTCACTGTGCTACTGGAGAAAGAATCAAGGAAAAATTACAGCTCCACATATCATGTTTATAGGAAAAAGCCAATTGAAATGTCCAGGAACTAAAAAGATAAAGAACGAAATTGTGATTGCAGAGCTAGAATCCAGCAAAAGTATTATACAAGCAAGAAAGTTGAAACGAAAAAGACAGCAGCCACTGAAACAGATAAAAAGTCAAAATCAGAAACAATGAAAATTAATCAAGCAAAGGATATCACTATTCCAACAATGACATCAGTCGAGACAAAAGCAACTCAATGTGTGAAAAAATCAGACTGTGAAATACTAATAGATAAACAAGCCATGAATAAAGAATTTTCATTATTAGAGGACAATAAATATATAGATTATGATCAATTCCACAGAGCAACAAGTCAGAAATATTGGAAAAAGTCAACTAAATGTTTGATAAACAAGAAACCAGCACAAATGCAATTAAATAGAAAATCAAATATTACTTTGGTGCGTGAAAATTTTTTAGAAAAATCAGATTATAGCGGAGAAATGGTTTACTGTTTAGACAGAGAAGGTTTTTGTATGCGATTTTGGACAGCTTATATTTATTTGAAGTCGCCCTATATATCAAGACCATTGAAAGTAGTGGTAAGGAGCAACATCGGAACAGATGTGATTCTGGGATACAAAGACTTCAACATTAGAGACTGTTCTGATGAAGACATACGAGTCTGGGAACAAAGTCATCTCTATCAACAAAAATAACAGCTGATTCAAGTAAAATTACTATCAACAAAAGTACCATCTATTTTTATGAACTATATCCTCATTTAACAGCTTAAAACTACGGTCCATCATCAAGAAGTTCAAGATTATCAGTCAGGAAGCTACATAGAACCACCCTCAACCTAACGATCAAGAGAAAACCTGAACAATTAAGAATTGACATTTTATCAGTCTTCACCTTCAAGATTGGCATATTTCAACCAAAATCAGAAATCACCAACCAGTAAGTAATGGGAATCCAGGGTTGTATATGCTAGTTCTCTCTGCCAATGTGGCACACTAGCTGTTCCGCCTCGGGAGTTTCTGATTTTAGCTTTATGAGTACTTCTATTTGTGGGGTGAAAGGGTGCAGTCACATTACCTAGCAAACATTCTACAGCCAAGACCGTTGTGAGTGACTGAAGAAGCATATTCTCGGTGGACTTACGTGTATATGGGCTGAATGGCTGTGGGACACGCGGTCGCAAGTGTGGATGTTTGGTCAGCGAAAGGGGTGGGGCCCAGACGCGTGGACTACTACAGAACATCCACGGTCTCTTCGTAGCAAATAGACTATCTGTTTTCTCCACGCACAGTATACAGAATTATTGCAGGAGCTACAGGCTTGATTTCAACTTCAGCGGCTGCAAGGAGAGAATGAAGAGGAGAAGGCGAGGAAACAGGGAGAGAAGATAGCCTAAGAATAGAAAGACAGGAGCAAGAAGAACACAAGAAAACATGAGTCCTTGTCATTGAAGTATGATAGAATCGATTACAGAAATTGTCATAGTGCTAGACAAAGATTGCATGTACTGAAAAGACTGATTTAGGAGTTTATCACCATCTTGCTGCAAGAGTTAAATATAGATAAATAAAAGTGCCAAGGATATACCAGCTATATAAATTTCACTAGACAGAGAAGACATGGTTTATAGGAGCTCTAAAATAAAAAGTAACGTATGAACGATCGATAAATGGCTTTGAAACAGAAAAATGCATTACTAACACAAACACGCGGGTCCCTGTAGAATTATAACTTTAATTTCTCAACAAAACCAAACAATATTCACAAAAAGAATTTAAAAAAAAACACAACAATTATGTGTGCGTGCGTGTGTGTGTGTGTGTGTGCGCGCGCGCGCGCACGTGTAGGGAGAGAAGTGGTCTCCAACTTTTTTTAAAGTCTTCCCTCCCAACATGGCAAGATCCCACGCCCCCCCCCCCCCCCCCCCCCCCCCCCCCAAAAAAAAAAAAAAGATGTGATTAAAAAAGGAGGAAACAAACAGGGAAATTGAAAGTGTGGGGATACGTTTTGGTCAGAATGTGTTTTTGTATTTATAATTATAATGCGCTTATTATCATATTAAAAGAATTTTAACGCTAGTTGTTGTTCAATAAATAGTTTTAAAATATTTTATTTATAATAAAAAAAAAAAAAAAAAAGAAATGCAAGTACAAATACACCCACTTTCAAAATTACTAAACGCCAGCCCCCCGCCATCCCCCACCCCCACCCACCGGTCCCACCCCATAAAACCTCCATGCACCTCCACTACACAAAACCTCCCTGCACCTCCACTACACAAAACCTCCCTGCACCTCCACTACACAAAACCTCCCTGCACCTCCACTACACAAAACCTCCCTGCACCTCCACTACACAAAACCTCCCTGCACCTCCACTCCAAAAAACCTCCCTGCACCCCACCCCATAAAACCTCCCTGCACCCCACCCCATAAAACCTCCCTGCACCCCACCCCATAAAACCTCCCTGCACCCTACCCCATAAAACCTCCCTGCACCTCCACTCCATAAAACGTCCCTGCACCTCCACTCCATAAAACCTCCCTGCACCCCCACCCCATAAAACCTCCCTGCAGCCTCCTTCCCATAAAACCTCCCTGCAGCACCCAACCTATAAAACCTTCCTGCAGCCACACCCCATAAAACCTCCCTGCAGCCTCCTTCCCATAAAACCTCCCTGCAGCCTCCTTCCCATAAAACCTCCCTGCAACTCCAACCTATAAAACCTTTCCATGTAGCCAGCCACACCCCATAACCTCCCATTGCATCATTTCCCCTTCGCGATAAACCCTCCCTGCAGCCTCCTTCCCATAAAACCTAAGCCCCAATAATAATAATCCCCTGCATCCAACCTATAAAAAACCTCCCTGCAGCTCCTTCCCATAAAACCTCCCTGCATAATAATAAAACCTCCCCTGCAGCCTCCTTCCCATAAAACTCCTGCAGCAAATCAACCTATAAAACCTCCCTGCAGCTCCAACCTATAAAACCTCCCTGCAGCCCCAACCTATAAAACCTCCCTGCAGCCCCAACCTATAAAACCTCCCTGCAGCTCCAACCTATAAAACCTCCCTGCAGCCCCAACCTATAAAACCTCCCTGACATCTTCCAACCTTCAGAACCTCCCTGGCATTTCCAAACACTACCTAAAAACCTCCCTGTGCTCCACCATGCCAAACATCCCTGTCAAGTCCCAACCTATAAACCTCCCTGCAGCCCCAACCTATAGAAAACCTAGTGCAACCACCCCATAAAACCTCCCTGCAGATGTCAACCTATAAAAGGGCTGTGCAGTCCAACCTATAAAACCTCCCTGCAGCTCCAACCTATAAAACCTCCCTGCAGCCCCAACCTATAAAACCTCCCTGCAGAGAACAAGTAAACCACCCTCTGAACCCCAACCCAACCTTCCTCCCTGCAGATCAACATACAAAGCCGCTCCAACCTATAAAACCTCCCTGTTTGCTCCAACTTATAAAACCCATGCCTGCAGTGACAACCTATAAAACCTCCCTGCAGCCCCAACCTATATAACATCCTGAAGCCAGACCCAGAAAACCGTCCTGAGCACCCTCCCTAGACCAAGCTGGAACCTCTCACATGTATGGTTAGAGGGACAACTAATCTAACATTCAGATTCAATACTCTACAACAGCAATAATAATAATATAATAATGGTAATAATAAGCCAGAAGAATAATAGAAACAACTAACCTTATATCTACACTGAAACGATCGAAACCTGCGGTAAAAAGAAGTTAATGTTTATCAAGAAACACTCATATTCATTTACTTTATCACCCTCAAAAGTCAATGATCGTTCTCTGATTTTGGCAACAAGTTAATCAGAAGCTGGACGTCCCAGGTCATCTTCATCTTCTATCTTGTGCACACCAGTTTTCAATCGTTGAGCACCAAGCACATCATGCACGTGATAAGCATTGAGCCATCGAAACTGACCCCACCGATGAGCTGTCTCAAAGAATGGGTTTCTGAGTTTGAACCAGAATTCATGTTCACCCTTGGCTCCAAGCTGCATGCGCAGTGATGCAACTTTCACTAGCTAAAAACAATAGCCGATTACTTGTCTCTTGAACGAACAGCCTTACAGTTTTGCTAGATCATTGATGAATGGTGCCGGTTTGAAGGACATGTTTTACTTCATAAGTGGTGTTTTTTTTTTATGTAGTGTCCTGTCTTGTGCTGGTTGTGTACATTGTCCTAATTTCTGTAGTAGTTTCTTTTTTATTCCTTCCATCCATGTCTTTCTTAGTAAGCCTCTTACCTTGTAGCCTGCTGTTCTTATGTAGTACGCTTTACCTGTTTGCTGAGTTTGTTCCATTCTGAGCAGATTACAAAACCATTTGATTCTTTGATGTTCTATGAAATCAAATGGTGTCACCGACGTGTCAATGTATGTGCTGAAGGCAAACCGTGCTGTTGGCTTTCGTGGACGAGCTGAGTTGAGACGAAATCGTGTGCTGGTACTTTACTTTCTTACAAGTCTTGCATCGCAACAACTTAAACAGCTGACTGCGAAAACGACGTACAGCAAAGAAGTACATAAAAAAATTCAAGACATGGGTAAGATCTACTAGCAGGAACTGAACTTGTTCAAACATGGCCCAGTAGGCGTTGGCAATTGTGTCACAGTCACCCCTAAATTTAGGATCACTTAACAATCGGAACACACAGGCAGGCAGGGCAAACGCTACGAACAGCACCGCTGCCAGGATCATCATTATAGTTATCGCCCTTTCTATCCTTTCCGATTCAGCAACCAATCGCTGGTTGTTTCCGGTGGCACATTCATTTCCGGTGTCCCGCCCACTTCCTTTTTGCATCAGAAATCGGCGATCACGGCGAGAAAGGTACAGCCCCCTAATAATTCCGCCTGTAAAAACTAAGATAATTATAAAGGGAATAAAGAGAAACATGGCGGCGTTGAGCCAGTACCAGTAAGTTGCCCAGAAGGACAAGAAGTTATTGTTTGTACCACACGTCATACCAGGACCCTTATCTCGCATTACCACAAACAAGATGCCGTAAAAACACAGAAAGAATGCGGCTACAGTAGCTGCACAGATGTAGCCTCGTTTTTTAGTGAACACTGAGATTTTCTTGAGTGGGTAGCACACGGAGATAAACCGCTCAGCGCATATCAACACCAGCATCCAGTTGGCCACTGTTGCCAGGTACATGGTGAGAAACTCCATCTTGCAGCCTACATTTCCAATTTGGACTTCGTACCTATAAAGTTGCTGGAAAATCAGTTTAACAACTAAAGCTGAACCGTCGAAGAAAGCCAACAGGGCAATAAAGAAGGTTGCTGGACTCAAGGCCTGCATGGATAAGGTCGTTATAATTGTCAGTACGTTACCAGGAACTCCGATGGCAAAAAGGATCCATAAATATGTGTTGCTGAACTGTGTCACAGCATCGCAGATTTCGATTGTCCTGAAAATAAATACAAGTAAATGTGTCAACTCTTATTTGGTCTATTAGTTGTGTACAATGAAATATTAAACAGACAGGCAAGGCCCATTGGATTTCAGGTTAATACATAACCGAGGGTACCCAAAATCAATGTCTCATACGATTGAACGGGTTGTCTTTCATTTGCTACTCTCGATGAGCAATCCCAACGGAAACTCTATGAGTTATTGGGTGTCAATCTGTCACGCAGTAATTTCGCAGCAGAGTAGGGGGGGGGAGTTACATAGCTCACTAAAAGAATGACGATTCGCACACAGGAACGATGAGATATTGTTGTAGACAAGAATGGTTGAATTTAAGTTTGTCGTGTCGCCACATTGAAAGTTGGCTACCAATTGCTGTGTTTCATAATAATATCACCCTAGCACTCATGGTAACATTCTTGATAATAAAACCCAAGATAACACTCATTATGGCACTCAGAATAACACTCATGGTAACACTCAAGATAACACTCACATAAACACTCATGATAACAGGCACTCTTGATATCATGAAAACAATCATAACATTCACTGATAAAAAAAAAAAAAAAAACCCACTCTTATGATAATACTCTTGACAAACGTTGCAATCATTGATAACACTCGGTGGTTTTTCTAAGCAAATATACGTCCAGTATGCCATTGCTTTCTAGTCGGCTTTCAATACCACTGACAAAAACAACGGGATAACTATCATGATTGCACAAATGACAAAAACACTCGGGATAACTATCATGATTGCACAAATGACAAAAACACTCGGGATAACTATCATGATTGCACAAATGACAAAAACACTCGGGATAACTATCATGATTGCACAAATGACAAAAACACTCATGAAAACGCTGACGATAAAGCTCTTAGTTGTGCTTTAGTCCGCGGAGTTCAGTGATCTACTGTCTCTCCGCGGAGTTCAGTGATCTACTATCTCTCCGTGGAGTTCAGTGATCTACTGTCTCTCCGCGGAGTTCAGTGATCTACTGTCTCTCCGCGGAGTTCAGTGATCTACTGTCTCTCCGCGGAGTTCAGTGATCTACTGTCTCTCCGCGGAGTTCAGTGATCTACTGTCTCTCCGCGGAGTTCAGTGATCTACTGTCTCTCTGCGGGACCGTGAATGGTGCAATGGGCCTGTTCTACTGAACGACAAAACAAGTTCACAAATCAACAAACACAACCCCCCACCCTGCCCACCACTGACTAAACAAATGAAGCCAACAAATTGCTTACTCCATGTTAGGAGGTGTGAACGGGAAATCAGGGAATGTTTCTGTGGTTTGGTTAGCCATTTTGTTGCCGGCGACTCTTCAAACGCAGGTGTTTGGCGTCTTGCTGTGTTATGGTTGATCAGTTCTGAAAAGAAGAAATATGAAACAAATGAAGACAACGTCGAAGAGGAGTTGTGTCAGTTGATGAGGCCGCTATCATCTTAACCTTTTCTGTCCGTTTTGGATGACTCTATAGTGCGAGACTACCAGCTGAGACAAGGTAAAAGTAGAAATGAACGAATGAAGTGAATGAATGAAAATAAAATCATGAATAAATACATATATGAAGAACTGAATGAATGACAGGAATGAATGAACGAATGAAATAATAAACGAATGAATGAATGAATGCATGTGGATGAATGTATAAATCAATGACAAAAATTGATATGAATGACTGTGCAAATAAATAAATTAATTAATTAATGAACTTATGAACAAATGAATGAATGAAGAACTGACATCAGTGCACTAGTGCTACATGCTCTGTCAGCTTAATCAGTAGCCAACAAATAGTTCCTAAATTGATGGTGCTATCTGCAACATGGTCAAAAGTTCGCCTTGTTCCCCTGAAGCTATAAAAGAAAAACCTAACCCTCTGCTTACAATCGGCTGAATTATTATTCCCCCTGTATATCGATGCTCTCCCTTCTTTGTTGCACTGTTAACTTCATTCACGAGAACCGTCACCACGTCTGCTTTATCACAATGTAGCTTATCACCCAGAAGGAAGGTAGCAGCTAAAATATTAGCCTGTTTATTACGTCGCGCAACCGAATGTTCCTTTGCTCGCCGGTGTGAACGATCTCTTCAAATCGCGCCATTAAAATAATCTATAAAAACCAGCTATTGCAGGCTGAAATATTGTATCCTCATTTACACTTAAAAGTTGGATGTTTTTAAGTATACACGAATCTGCCACAGATGAAAGCCGAGAAGACAGACAGACAGACAGACGCCTATGCACGTACTGTCGGACTGCCCTAACTGCTCCAGGCTGAGGCTTTGTTGTGATCCCACACTGAAATCAGCATGTACTCTGGAATAGAAGCTGTGGGGGACAGTCGGTGACCTTAGACGGATTGTTCAGTGCGAGACCCAGACGGAATTGAATGTTCAGCAAGGCGGATGTTGAACGCAGAAGAAGAGATAAGTTGAAATTTAGTTGCATAATATTTACAGAAGTTGTAAACCAGTCTAAGCATTTGTTGGCTATTCGCGGTTTTACGAAGGACATTTCCACTCAGTAGTTAGTCAGTGTTTTGTAAATAGTTCCATGCGTTTACCACTGTCGAAATCAACTTGGTTCCACGCGTTTATTATTGTCGAAATATACATAGTTCCACGCGTATATCTTTTTTGAAATTCAACTTGGTTCCATGCGTAAATCATTGTCGAAATCTGCGCAGCCTGTTCCAGATCTTTCACAGCTACCGCCAAACGTCATAATGTATCGAAATTATGAAACCTGCCTGATAATACTGAAATCCTAGACGTCGACAATAGACGTAGAGCAAACAGTAAATATCAATGGGCGAACAAGCCATACAGCTGGTAGTGTTTGTGGTTTCCATGTTTCCTGTGATTGCATCTCCTCGATTTCTTGTAGCAGACGTTATGAGGAGACATCAGCGATGGGTGTAGAGCCGCTCAGTCTGTTTGGAAATCTCACATGGAAATGATAAACTTATTAGCGGCAAGCTATTTTAGTTCTACGGTGGAGGATGGGAGCAAAAAAAGGAGGGGGGGGGGTATAAGCTGAGCCAGTCTGACAAGTTGAGGGAAGAAAATTTTACAAACTTGGTTATCAGACATCAACAAGAGTATGTTTCTTTGAACCTACTCTCAACACGTAATCTAATAATATCCTCATCTTTCGCTGACGTCCCTTCAAGCTCGAGTACACGCGCCAAGCCGTGCTATCTTGGGCCCTTTCTCCAATCTCCCCTCCACTTCACTTGACATGATTTCTTCTCCTCTCCTCGTGTTATACTTTCTCCCTTTATTTCATGTCCCCCGTATGTTCCAACAAAGGGCCTTTCATGTAACAGGACTAGTTTATTTTGTTTTATTTTCAGTAAAATAAACTGTCCCAGATTCAACGCTTCCAGACAAAACTTCTGGCCAAAAGAGACACTTGTGGAAGTCAAACTTTACGGGCCGCTTAGTGAATTACAAAAGACAGTGAAATTCCTACTAGAGACAGCATTGCAGATATAAATAATTTATTTCATGCGAACGAAAGAAGAAGAAGAAGTAAAATAAAAACCTATCTATTGGTAATATTTATTATCTGTACTGGGAATTTTATTATTATTATCTGTGTTGGGAATATTTATTATCTGTACTGGGAATAATTATTTCCATGTTTTCAAATATTAATGTTGATGCCCCAACTTGCCCTACTGTGCGGTTTTCGAAACCACTGAATGAAGGTCACAAGAACGGCCCTTTTATTATTTTTTCGCCGTGAAGATCGAATCTGGAATGTCCATATTGTGTTATGTTATCACAGTAGACGTCACAGCTTGCATACCCGTGTATGCTCAATACTGCAACGCAGCAGCTATTTCAACGTACCTCTCCGAACATTTGGAGGATTGTAGAGCTCGTTCACTCACCTTTGAACTACAGAGTCGCACTTTGCAGTGACAGCTCGCGGCAAGGTATTGCGGAATTACAGCTTCTTGTCGCTGACATGTAGGCATGAGCACAAGAGGTTGAAGAGACTGATCGAATGTTTTACGCATGTGCACTAGAAGCTGCAATTCTACAACGCCTACCACAAGCCGATGGTGGACTTGGTCAAATAAGCTGAAACAACGACTTGTTTAGAGATGGCTCTAAACACAAGGCAGGTACGTTAGCAAAGACATCAGTCTACTCAACATCCGTGAGTCAATGTTAGGATAGTGTGATGAACTTCTACGAGCAACTCGTGATCTACGACTGACGATCTAGCTGGCGTCGGATTTGATATAGTACGCTGACAAAAAGACAATCCCCTTCCTACACTAGGAAATCAAATAATACTTTGCAGTTAGAAGATCAGATGCAGAAACCAACTGTTTCAAGATGAGGATAGTTTAGGAATCGGTTTCTCCGTCTTTTGCATTTCAACAATATCTTTAACCTTATGTGTCAATAGAAAACAACTGTTGTATAGCTGAAACACGGACATGCAAACAAACAGAGCAGACCTGTCTTCACTGACAAGATTTCAATGTCGACAAGAACGGTCAGTACTTGGTTCAGACATTCCAGAGTGGAACTAACCCACATCTCGTTGTTATCTTTTGTTCGACTTGATGGTTAGACAGACCGTTGCATAATGTGTAAACAGGGAGAAGAAGGTGTGAAGGTGGGGTGGGAGAGGAGCTAAGTAGAAGGACAAGAGCTTTTTAAAACCAAAAATACACCATCATCATGTAGCAGGTCTTTTGCAGAACGTCGCTCTCATTACAGTCTGCCAGAAACTCGGTCTCTCGCCAATTCTCCCGCCTCATGAATTTTCATACTCGAGGAGTCACTTATATCCTGTGCCCATCTTCCCCTACCTCTCCTTCCTGGTACCATGCCTTCTGCTATAATTTTTTCATAATACACCACGTGCTATATATTTCCTAGACACATCGGCTCATCCACTTTATGTGACCTAACAAATTCAGCAGTTTTCTCTGATTAGAAGACAAGAAGTGAAATGATTTGG